ACCTTGAATACATAGTATGCTTATAACACCTTTTTTTTTTCCTTTCTTATGAAATGTGGACCAGATGTTGAAATACTATAAACAGAGTCAATTCCAAGTATTGATTCTACTTTTCTGTCAATCAGCTGTCACGACAATCATATAACTCAGGATCTAGACCTCCCCTACCTGCTAAGTCTTCAGCCCAACATACCCTGCATGGAATGATTAACTGATATTCTACATCTATTTATCATTTGATACTAGCAGAAGCACACATAGATGCCGTAATGCAATCCAATCATGTCTTCAGACCCAGCAAAGCACATCCTCCTAATTTCTGCCTTTTTACATAGCCCGAGCCTATTCAACTCTGTGTCTCTAGTTTTTTCCATGAAATAGTATAATCATTGTGCTCTGAGATCATAAACGTCATTACTTGGCTCCATGCCTGAATCTCAGTGGATGATGAGTCTTAAATATACCCATGAACATATAAGCAGACATCATGTGATTTAGTTTATAACCTAAAGCTGACAATTCTGATAATTACAATTTCCTGGTCACCTTCATTGAAAAAAAATCAAAAATGCATTCTGAAAATCATTAACACACTCTTCCTAAAAATTTAATCTTCTTGGTGCAAAACTGTATCTCTGGAAAAAATACCATTGGTTCACTGGTTGCTGAGGGTTGAAGAACAGACGGGCATAAGGGGTAACTGGAGAAAATGGGTGGAGCTGTTGGGTGGAAGATAGAGGTTGATGACAGAGATGGTCCATATCATGATTTCAGTGGTGGTTACATTAACTCCACACACACAAGAAAGATTTGTATGTGTGTGTCATGCCAACTTAAAATATTTTAATTATGAAACATTAATGTCTTCTACAGAATAAATCAAAACAGTGACATAAATTAACTTTTATATCCAAGGATTTTAACATCTTCATTTTGTATTACCTTCAAAGTAACATAAATCAAATCAGTGCTATCAAAAGCAACTTATGGACGATTTTTCTGTAACAGAAACACTAAACCTTAAAATATAAGTGGTATCTCCAACTCCTGACAGCTGGGAACTCTGGGATATCTCTGGCTTTGGCTTTGCAAATCTCTACTTTGCTATCTCATGGGTCTCTAAATGTACTAGATTATTATCCAAAATCCCTAAAGTAATATAGTCGAAGTAAAATTAAAAGACTTAAGGCAGATTAAATGATTAGACATATACATATCAAGAGATAACAATGTTGGGCCTGGAAAAATGGCTTAGCAATAAGAGTTCTTGTTGTTCTTGCATTGGCTATACGTCATCAGGTCCCATGTCAATACCTATCACAACCATCTGTAACTCCAGCTCCAGGAGATCCAACATCCTGTCCTGAGCAGTACAGGCACCTATACTCACATACACAAAACCACATACAGATACATATTATACACATAATTTAAAAATTAACAGAAATAAATAATCCAGGTGGTCAATCCTGTAATCCCAGCTACTCCAGAGACTGAGAGAGAGAAATTTAGTTCAAAGTTAGCCTGGAAAACTTAGACTCTGTTTCAAAACTAAAATGGAGGTAGGGGGCGGCTAGAATTATAGCTCAGAAATGGAGCATTTGCCTATGAAGCAAAAGGTTCAATCCTGAGAACTGAAAATGTTTAAGCACAGAGCTAGCTGCAGGTTGGACCAGTACCGCATGCTAAGCAAGAAACACTGAGCTATCTCCAGCCCCACATTTTGCATTTTTACAATGTCATATTTTATTCACAAAAATTAAGGCACAAACCATGTAAGAGAATCCCAACACAAAATGTTTTAGCACTAAATGATTTTTAATAACTTTTTTTCGATTCAAATAAGCTGGAGAAGAACAAAGTGAAAATGAGTCATGTGAAAATGAGCACACTGAAAACAAAGATCCCAATGGTTATCAACTAGTGAATTATAGAGATGACAATGTAGCCACACACTGATAGCAGTTAGCAATTCAAACAGGCTGAAAGTCTGTGGATATAGTCCCCTGATAAAGTACTTGCCTAAAAAGCACAGCCCTGACTTCAATCTCCAGCACAACACCAAAAAAAAGGAAAAAAGAAATGAGTTATCAATATAACAACAGATGATTCAGGCATTTCAGACGTTCATGTTTTTCATGCTCCCCCCTCCCTGTTGGCTCCTAAAATATTGTGGAGACATAATTATACATGCCCCCAAATAAAAACATATAGTACAAGATTCCCTTGAAATAAGAATCTAGATAATGCTTATTTGTTTATACTAATAGGTCAGCAGCTGCCTAGAAAAGAGCAGCTAGAGGAACTGCCAAGGAACAAGATGAACTTTTTGAGGGTGATAGGTGTGTTGATTATCTGATTGAGATGATGTTTTACCAGTGTATATATGTACAGCACACCCACTGTCCATTTTAAATACCTGTTATTATTTGTAACACAATTTTATCTCAGTAAGACTATGTATAAAAGACGGTCTTCCGATTGAAAAATAATATTTAAAAGTCATATTCCTAGCCTGGGATACTGTATTTAGACCACCTTCTTTTTCAAACAGATGTACATAGTGGAAAGCAAAAGAATTTCAGTCATGGCAATGTATAAACAAAACCTTAATAATCCAAAGATTTAATTATAATATAATAAAAACAGTTAAAGCTAATATTTCTATAGCTATTACTATGTGCCAGGTACTTTTTAAAGGATTATTATTTTTCAATTACGTGTATAAGTGTGTGCCTGTGTGTGGGTTCGTGCATGTGAGTGTGGACACCCACAGAGGTCAGGCACTTTGAATCCCCCAAGAAGCTGGTGTTACAAGTAATTGTGAACTGCCTGACATAGGTGCTGGGAACTGAACTCAGGTTCTCCAGAAGAACACACAGCTCTTAACTATTGAGCCCTCTCTCCAGCCCATGTCATATTTTTACAGAGCATGTTTCTATACTAACTTAGCTAACTCTCAGGAGTCCTGCCTTACAAGTTAGAAAATTAAAGCAAGTGGTAGGTAATACCTGTTAGCTCACAGCACTGGAGCTGAGAAGGCAGTGGGGTATAAAGCCACTGAGGATAGTTTCGGAGCTGATTTTCTTTTTTCTTTTTTTTTTTTTTTATTATCTATTAAAATTTATTCACTTTGTATCTGGCTGTGGCCCCCTCCTTCCTTTACTCCCAATCCCTTCCTCCCTCCCTTTTCTCCTCCTAGTCCACTGATAGGGGCTGTCTTCCTCCCCCTCTACCTGACCCTAGCCTATCAGGTCTCATCAGGACTGGCTGCATGGTTTTCCTCTGTGGCCTGGCAAGGCTTGCACCAACCCTCCCTACCCCCAGGGGTGGTGATCAGAGAGCCTGCCTCTCAGTTCATGCCAGAGACAGCCCCTGCTCTCCTTACTAGGGAACCCACTTGGAGACTGAACATGTCCTCTCCATGCACGGTCCTTGGTTAGGGAAGATGCTCAATCCTCATTCAGAAGGGCAAATGTGATAGACATTGGAAGCAGGAAAAGACAAGGAACAGGACAGGAACCTACCACAGAGGGCCTCTGAAAGACTCTACTAATTGAGGTATCAAAGTAGAGGCTGAGCCTCATAGCCAGACTTTGGGCAGAGTGCATGGAATTTTATGAAAGAAGGCAGAGTTACAGAGACCTGGAGGGACAGGAGCTCCACAAGGAGAGCAACAGAGCAGGGGGAAAAAAAAAAAAAAAACACTGGGCCCTAGGGGCCCTGCAGAGCTGATTTTCTTCTCCATGCACATTTTGTCAGCATCCTCAAAAGTAGCATGTAAAAACTGTAATCAGTATTTCAGTATAGTTTTCCTTCATACTCATAAAAAATACATATCCACAATGGAAACATTCGTGAGTCAGCAAGACAAGTCCCTTTCATTCTTCTTTCACACTTAATATACTGAGGAAAAGATTTATATGGCAAAGCAACCAAACACTGTGAAGCTGGTTCATAACACTCCCAAACTAAAATTCCTCACTGTCCCCACAGTATTTTAAGTAAACCAACAAGGAGGGGGAAAGCAATCTTATTCCTAATAGCTTGAAAAACATGAACATCTTAAATACCTTAGTATCATCTTAATTCCACCCAGTCTCGATTTCTATCTGGTTTAGAAGCTCCTCAGGTGACTGTCATGGGCATACAAGATTCACAACTCCTGATTTTCATTTCTCATAAACAAAGATACAGAAGAAAGCCCTGTGCTAGAAAAACCTAAGGTAAGCCAGAGCCCAAAGTTTCCAAGTCTATTACGGTGTCCCCACATCCAATTTCCACTCGTTCAAAGTAACATGCTCCCAGGAGACACGGACCTGGCAGGTAGATAACCACACCGAGCAACAAGGCCATACTAACTCGAGTATTAGCCAGTTAACTTGCAATTAGTTACATAAGGTACCCAAGAAATAGGAGAAGTGAGAACAAGAGGTTGCTGGCCCAGCAGTATAAGAACCATACAGCATAATGTTGCTGATTCCAGCTTCGTACATGTCAAAGCGAAAATGAGAAAGGGTTTGAGTTTTTGTTTTTAAGTTTACTTTGCATTTTATAGCCTAAAGGTAGTTAAGTATTCCACGAATGCCATAACTGAATGCATTCATTCATTATGAATGAGTGAATGAATGAATGGGAAGAATATACAAATCCAAACTACATCATACCTTAAAGTCTTCTGGGGTCTATATTTACACCTGTAGATGCAAAATGCCATACAATTGATACAATTTGTTGTTCCATCCTTTTGGCTTTTATTCTATAGAAATTCCCTCAACATCATTTTCGCTTTTAAATCTCACTTTCCTGCATCCTGATGTTTAACAGGTTTTCAGCTCTCAGCGTGATTTCAAACTAACGGAAAGAGAAGGAAAACCTATGAGAAAGACTGTGGAAATTCCCAAAATGCAAAGCAAAACCACGTAGTGGTACATAAGATGGGGAAACAGGTCAGTCCAACAGAGGGTACGGCCAGGTTGCCAGAAGTATCGTGCTCTTACCTATGATGGTGGCGGGAGGTGGGTTCGGGCTTTATATGCTTTGTTACTATCCAGGGTCACTGGTGGACTAATAACTGGATGTGAAAATTCAAGACTAGAATTGGGCGGCAGAACAAGCTTTTGAAGTTTTGGCTTACTTCCCCTTTCCCAGTATCACCTCGCGCAACCACCGCCCAAACACAAGATGGCGAGTCCGGCTTCGCATATATTGGAAGCCAGTGCCAGGACCTAAGATGGCGGCAAAACGCTATGGGTTAGAAGGATCTGCCCAAACGAAAAATGGCTTCTGACCTGAAAGTTAGAAACCAAAATGAAAATGGCGGCAGAAGCGGGCTTTTTAGCCGCTGGAAATTCCATAGATATGATTGGCAGATAATGAATCACTGTTATTGATATGTAGTGACGGAAGAAAAAATTTAAAAACCGTAGTGTTTGCGTGGCATCATAACACTACTAGGGCTGGGGCAAAAAGTATTTTTAATGAGAAAATTAAACGATGGGTTGAAAATAAAGGTGGCTTTCACAATGCCAGGGAAGAGCTAATTAACAGTATGCTTAAACATAACGCCATAGTGTTTCGGGCGCAAGCCACGGAAATTAAGCAGTCGGATGGCGCACTGGATGGGCGGTGTTCGCCCTCCGGCTAACCCTGCGCGTGCCCGACCGCCCGCGGGCCGGGTAGCCACTCGCCAGGGCTCCGGCACCCTCAGCGAGGGAGGAACGCGCGCTTCGTTATTGGCTGAGAGCTGAAGGATGGAACCCGGCGCTCGGTGATTTGTCAAGCCGGAAAAGCGCCCGAGAGAGGTGGCCACCGCGTTCTCGCCGCCTGTTTCCCGACGACGTGCTGTCGTCTCGTCGACGACGTGCTGCGCGGCAGACGCGGTCAGCTCCGGTAGCTGGCACAGACGGAACACTCCGGCCGCTGTCCTCCGCGGAGCCAGCCCCGAGGGCGGGCCGGTGCGCCGCTGCGCGTGCGCCCTCCTGCCGCGGGCCGGACGCGCGGCGGGGTTCCGGTGGCGACGCGGCCTGGCGACCTGCCGCTGCTGCTGGGCAGGTGAGAGCCCCGAGCCGCCGGCTGGAAGCCGGCTTGCGGAAGGTCGCGAGGGGCCTCGGCCGAGGGTATTTGGGGGCGGGGATAGGGAGTCTCCAGGGCGCCGCTTTCACCGTCGCTTCAGGCTGTGACTGGTGGTCGGGCGAGTGTGGGGGCCGGGCGTGGCCGGTTCCAGGAGTAGGGCTCTCTCAAGCCCACCTGTACAGTGAGCTGAATGGAGAAGCTGTCCTTGGAAAGAGTCGGGGTCACCTGCGCTGGCGCCCACCACCTGCAACCTGGAACTCCTACCTCCTTCACGGGGATGGTACCGGTACACCGGGGGCTGTGGGACCGTAGGGGCTTCCTTGAAACACAGAACTGGAGCAAAGAGCTGCTGGCAACATGCTCGTTTCAACTCTGAGAAAGCAGAAACGTTATCAGAGCTTCTGACTATTTTGTAGAGATCCAGGCACATCTGACATGAGGGAATCTCTGAGGTCACGTTCATAGCCCTGGATACTTTCGATGTATCAGAGGGGGAAAGGGGGGGGGGGGTTGGTTTGTTTGTTTTTTTTTAATCGTCTGCTTTCCCGTTGTCACATAATGTGTGTGTGACACTATTTTATACATGGGTGATCTAGACTGGCAGGGTTCTTCCCCAGTGGAGCTTGTGGTCTGGCGATAAGTCCTAGGAAAAATAATCAAGGGGAGAGGAAAGTTTCAGATTGAATGTTCAGAGCAAGGTTTTGTGGATAAGGGACTCCTGAGAGAAGAGCTGAAGGACAGGAATTGTGGTTGAAATGCCAGACCCATAATGCTAGGAGAACCAGAAACTATATCTTTAGAGCTGCTGGCATCTTGAGAAAACAGGTGGTTTGACACCCTGGGAAAATAAATGCCAAACTACTTAGGACAAGCACAAAGGCAGTTATCTTTCAGGAGTCGGTCTTTTTAACCCTTTGATCAGGTGGTCAGCCAGTTTCTGAGATGTGCTCTCCTCATCTCTGGCACTTTTCCCTCATTATCTGGACATCTCCAGGCACCGCGTGGGGACTAGTTAGCATCTACAGATATCAACCCTGTCTTCCTCCAGGTACCACCTGGCTTGGAGAGTTAACTCCAAACAAACAACTACTAACAGTTTGTATGTGAGGTGGTTAGTTACTTTTTACTGGTTTGTGTGTGCTAAGCTACAAATAACATGTATGGAGATTGTGCAATATAGAATCCCAAAATGTCTTATGCTTTGAAATAGAAAGTCGCCCTTATTTGTCTTCTATCATAATGAGCCACCCTGTGAGGAACTAAGAAAGCAAGATTCTCCAGTATCTGTTTTGCAGTGAGAATAAAGCAGAGGAACAGGACAGGTGGCTGCCACATTCCCTGTGTTAAATGACTGTTAACTAAACATTATGAATATTGACTAAAAAAACATACTGCAATTAATTCAGAGGAAGTAGAGAACTATGGTTTTAAAAAAATGAGTAAAGACTTGGACTAGTTATTTTGCGTTTGCTCCTATACAGTGTTCAATCAGTCATGAGTTATTAAGTTCATCCCCTTCAATATTTGGTCTTGGCATAGAGAACAAGCACCATTCCTTATTCACTTTGGTAGTTTTCTTGTCTATAATGTCAGCATATGTGGAGAGTAAATGGCCATTTGAATAAAAAAAAATTCACTCATATCTCAAGTGAAAATTGGCATGAACACTAGAGACATTTAGAGCAATACAGTATTCTAATTCTTTAAGCTGTAAAAAGATTAGCCATATAACCGCAGTGCTCAAGCAGGAGTTTCTGGAGGTGCCTACTTCTTTATATTAGAAGTTACATATGTATATAGCAGTAATAGCTGCAATGTACTGAGCATTTACCAAAGTCTTCCTATAGTGTTATAATCTTTATAATTTGATATTAACTTTATATAAACTATAATGTGATAGATCACACACATACAACAGGAGCCACCAAAACCACAAACCTGTTTTTTAAGAATCTGGATGTGCTTACTTTTATTTTTCTGTTTAGCTTATATGAATTGGAGGCCAGCCTGGGTTACATATGACCCTGTCTCAAAACAAACCAACAACAACCACCAAAAAAAAAAAAACGACAAGGGAAAAACATTGTCTGTTTACAGGTGATCAAATAACACTGCTAATAGTTATCTATCACTAAGTCTGGGCTGCTTCAGGTATGTTAACTGTACAGCAGTTTTTTTGATATGGAAGCCATTATTACTCTTTTGCCAGTGATAGGAGAGTAATTGACTTGGCTAAGGCAGTACAGTTACAAATATTTGGGGGAGATTTGAATCCCAGGCAGTAGGATTCCACTGCTCATTCTTTTAAGTCACTGCTTTATGATGCATTTTTGTTTTTAATGATTTATTTTTTATTTATTCTGCCTGCAGGTGTGCCTGCAGACAAGAAGTGGCACTGGATTTTACCATAGATAATTGTGAGCCACCATGTGGTTGCTGGGAATTGAACTCAGGACCTTGAGAAGAACAGCTACTGCTCTTAACCTGTGAGCCATCTCTCCAGCCCCATTACAATGCATTCTTATTAACCTGATTTACTCTATTCTTTGAAAACTAGTTGGTAGAAACTAAAGCTTAATGGCCTTTATAGACTATAATAAGAGGTTAAACTTTGACCCTGTAGTCAAAAATGTCACCAGAATTTTCCAAACAAACAGAAGCATGACTCCCTTTTTCTTTATCTAAGTTATACTGTAGAAGCTTTTTAGAGTCACTGAAACAGTAGCTTTCAAACTTCAGCTTTAGGACCTCCTCAGAATTGTATTGAATGTTTTCAGATCCTATTATGGAGTTTTGGCTTCCATGATCAGAAGAGCATGAGAATTTTCATTTCTACTAAGTTCCAGGTGGCTACTGATGATGAGGCCACAAAACAAAGTCATTTTGGGTCATAAGTGTCTGGACTGTGTCTTGGGGAGGTCATCTCAAATGACAGGATGTAATGACAATCTTGAAGAACAAGAACAAGAAAAAAATGCATTATATCCAGATTTCTGAGTAGAATAGCTTAGTGTAAGATAGTTTTAATCTTACTTTATTTTTAATGATGTGTATGTGTATGTCCTTGTTGGGATGTATTCACTGAGTTGCAGGTGCCCTCAGAGGCTTGAACATGTCAGGTCCACCTGATGTGGGTGCTGGGAACCAAATTCAAGTCCTGCAAGAACCCCAAACTACTGCACTATCATCCTTCCAGCCTTCCTTTTTTCTGTTTTGTTTTTGGTTTTGTTTTTTTTCCCCAAAACAAAATCCAAGTATAATAGCAGTCTGGAAGGAAAGATTTGTTGTGGTGGTGGTGATGGTGGTGTTGACTCAGATTGCTTTGTAGTGGAGAAAAATGTCACAAGCATTCAGAGGAAAATGACCTTTAAGAGTGGTAGGTTGAAGCCAGAAGAAAGTGGGCTAGTGGTGTTAGAACTGACAGCCTGGTGGCAAATGAGCCTGGGCCATAGGTAGCAGAAGTACTGCTTCCTTACTTTAGACAGTAGGGAAGGTTAAGATGAAAGCTAGGATGATATATTTTTACAGTATGGACAAGAAATTGGGGGTATTAATAGTGCATATCTATGAAATTCTCTAGCCAATAGATTATTTGCAGAAACAAAGGTAGAATAAAATGAAAATCTCAAAAATGATGAAGGGTAGAAATTGATTGGCCCTTTGAAGATTTAGAGCAGACTAGGGCAAATAAAAATCTGCTGTCACACTAAGGGCCAAGCAACTAGACATTTAATCTGGAACCATCTGCATGATCTCCATTCACTCTCCCTCATGAATATTAGGTGACATTAAGGATAATTATAATTCAGATATAATAATATTAGATGATAGCCAAGAAAATCAGTGAAAGAGACTGGGAGACACCTGAGACATGTAAAACCACTATATCCTTTCCAGTGAGTCACAAACTGCCAGTAATCAACTGTATTTTGGACTTTATAGTTAGTGACACACTCATACAAGTCTGAAAGGATTTCCTTATTGTTTACATTTGATTATAAATACACTGAACTGAAAATA